GGTGTGCCCAGCCTCCAGCTGCAGTGATGGTCCCCCTTTCCCCCTTCAACTGCATTGCCCTAGCATCTCCCCCTCAGTTATGGTACTCCTAGTCATTAGGTTATAGAGTGGGCTGACTTGAGGAACACGCTCCAGTCTTGCTGTTGAAGCCAGACTACTGTACAACCAAGAATTCAAAGTAATGGATCCCAAAGAAGAGAAAAGAAGATGGGGTATAAGTTTGTAGGACAGTTAGGCTAGGGACAGACATTGAAAAAGTCCAAGCCTGAACTGATTCAATCTTTGCGGGTTAGTCTAACCTGCATAGAATGAACCAGTTTGCAAGCAGACAGATGTTTGGGACATGCCTGCAGCTGGAAGAAATCTGGGCACACAGGTCTACCCAGCCCCAGAGGGGAACTCTTCCTCCTGCCTCTTCCCCACCACTATGGGGCCAGGAGGGGGGCCCTGTTCGGTGCTGGGGGAGCTCTTCTCCCTCCTCCTCCCCTGCTGCCACTGTGGGGTGGGGAGGGGGCTCTGTGAGGCTGCCTGGCCCCAGAGAGGGACTCTTCCCCCTGCTTCTCCCCCATCACTCCGGGGTGGGGAGGGGGATGCTGATCAGCCCCAGAGTGGGACTCTTCCTCCACTCCCAGCAGAGTGCAAGCATTGTGCAGTCAGCAGCGAAGGAGACAGTGTGGGGCTCTAGTGCGGGGCTTCCCTTGCTGCCAGGGTTGGAGCTACAGGTGCAGGGAGCAGAGCCTCGGGGATAAGGCAAGCTCTGCTCCCTCCCCAGCGTTCAGTGCTGACCAGAGCCATGTCTGTGTCAGGCACGATTGCCCCGACGTCCCCGCCTGCTGCTGCTGCCAGGCAGTGGGGGCTGCATGCCATGGGGGAAGTGTGTGGGGATCCCTACACCCCCCCACCTGCACACCTACACCCTGCCCAGCTGAGGTCCATGCTCCCACTGCCCCTCTGGGGAGGAGAGAGGGAGGGGGAGGAGGAGGAGGAATAGTTCCTGAGTTCCCCACAGCATGGAACAGAGCCTCCTCCTGCCACCCACCCTCACTCTGGGGTTGGGCAGCATTGCATGGACCACCCCCCCCCTCCCCCCCTTGCAGCCCCCTTCTCTACCCTGTGGGACAACCAACCCAGCATGGCCCTGTTAGGTTGAAGGGGGCAGGGAGAAGGGTTAATTCCTGCCTCTGTCCCTTCCCTGCAGTTGGGGTATCCCACTGCTGCAGCCCCATCCCCTCTGCTCCCTCAGCTGCAGTGGGGTAAGAGGGGAAGGAGGGAAGAATTAACCCCCTCCCTGCCCACTTTGCCTTAATGCCCACTGGTGTCTCTGCTAGGGCCAGTACCTGTTCTGGCTAGAGAGCAGAGGGGAGGGGCCAGCCCTTCTGTAGAGCAGAGAGCCTAGGGTCTAGGACAGACATTGCATAAACCGGTATGAGCCAAATCAGTTAAGTCTGATACTACATTCAACCAGGTTTATCTCAAACCAGTTGCAGCCATTTTCAAACTGGTTTATGTGCACTGAACATCTGTTCTTTTACAGGTTTAAATCAGTTTCTGATCACTTAAACCATTTATGTGTAAAGTCTGTCCCTAGCCTTAGTGATCAGGGAGTTCAGCAGCAAAAGGGAGATCTGAATTCCAGTCCCAGGACTATTTCTGCTTCTTACCTAGTGGTTGCCTAATGAAAAATATAAGTGATTCAGGAAGTACAAATGAGAACATAGTTTCTTAAATCACCATTCAGAGGTGCCTACTGGGTCTATTAAGAGCCTGGGCACTCAGCCCTGTTTTTGGAATCACACTTTTGCAGTTACCAGGCATAGTGAATCCAAAATTGGAGCCACTGTAGGCACTGACATGGATAGTGCCCAAAATGATACTAAGTAAATAACATGAGCTCAAACATTAGTGCCCAAAATGATACTAAGTAAATAACATGAGATAAGGTACAACTTAAAAAAAACAAGATGTTGCCTGAAAAGAACATTAAGGCCATGATAGAAAGCAGGAGAAACAAATAATTTCCACAATTAAGGAAAAAATGTATCCTATTTCTTCAACATGCAACTCCTTTCTCTGACAAAATAAGTTCAGAATGTCTGTTGTGGTGTCAAGATACTGAAACTGATTATTCTGTATATTCACTTTCTTTTTATACCACCAGCAAGCATGGTTACTTACATATATTCACATATCTAGTGCTATATGAGAGTTCAAATTAGTTCTGCTGATTTTGCTATTAACTTCAATAAAAAAGGAGAGATGGTAAAGTTCTGAAACAAAAAATGAGCAAGGTTGCAATCCAGCAAAACATTTAAGTAGGTACTTAATATGGATTGCAAAAAGGATTAAAGTTAAGTATGCAGCATAGAATTTTGACACATCAGGGCTTTATAAAATGTATTCATCACTATGTGTATTTTCTTATAACAAAGAGTCTAAAAACTGAATTTTAGGTATGACATTTATAGACTTCATCACTGGGAGCCTCCCCACCCTCAACCCTAGGTGGGGGAGCTCAGGTTCTGTCCTATTTAATATTAGAATAGACTGCCCTACTCACCTATGTCCTAAACATAGCCCCAGGAGTCCTATCACCCCCAGCTGGAAAGCTCCAATCCTTCATGATCCTCCAACCCTAACCATACCTCAACCCTAAACCTAGCTTGGGCTACTGCAACAGCCCCAACCCCAACCCTAGGCAGGAGACCCCAAACAGCCTGACCATAGGAACTAGCTTGGAGACCTCCCAAACCTGGTCCCTAAGCTGAGCCAGATCCCCAGCTGCCATAACAACAACTGGAACAAGAGAAACCTTCCTATCTTAGAGCCTGGTCCCACCACTTGGAGCCCTCCTGCAATCAACCCTTGGTGGGGTCACAGGGTCCATCATACTTCTTGTTAGCATGAATTGCTGTACCTACCTGTGCCCTAAACATAGCTCCATGGGTGGAAACAGATGTCACCTGATATCTCATTGTGCTGCCTCATATTTTTATGGCAACACAAATGCTGATCAGACAGACATCATCACACTTTGTTACACCACATAAATGGAAAACCAGCAGCACAACAAAACGTGGTATTAGACTGATGCTTTATTGGGGTGGATGTTTATGCTCTGTGATATTTTCTCTGCTCAGTCAGATCCTGCCATGAATCTAGCTCCTAAACCCCATCTTAGCTGGGATATCTACAGCCACAACACACACTGGAGCAAGTGGGCTGCCCCCAACACTGAAGCCTAGTGATTAGGGGACTCTCCTGACATGTGGGAAATATATGTTTTGAATCTCTGTCAGCTTAGAAAGGCCAATTACCCAGGTCTTCTACGTGCCATTAGGTTCATATGCTAAAAGTGGATACCACCACTAGGCCCATATGGACCCCTCAGAGGAAGAACTAGGTATACTGGGTCTTGGATATAGAGAAGAGCTTAGACTTAGAGTTCAATAGGCCCAGATCTTCAAAATACTTTAGAAGGTAAGGAGACCAAAGTCCCAGATCTTCTAAGCATTTTGATATTGTTGGTTGAAATATGTCACAAGAACTTAATGCAATTACTATTTGATGGATAGAAATGTTGAACTCCTGACTCCACACTTCACATTAACTTCTCTCCATAATTCTGGGCAATAATATTTGGGTTATAGCCTCTGACAGAGCTGAAATAGTGCAAATGCCACTAAACCTTGACAAAGGCAAATTTTAGAAGAATAGAACCTTCAGCAAGCAGTATTGTCAAATGTATTCTGGGTTAATAAACTCATTTGTACTTGGCTTTATTACAACAGCATAGTAAAAATGGCTTTTTATTGAAAAAAATATTTGAATGGATTATTTTGATATAAGTAGCAACAATTCCAGTTCTGGCTAAACTGGATACATCTCCTTTAATCTTATGGTGAATTATACACATATCTTTTTAATCAACGTGACAGAATGCTTATTATATCTCCACACATGGATAACTTAAGAGCAAGGTATAATTTTCATTGTATCTGTTTATTTAGCTCCCAGTCTGAAGAATGTTTAACTGAGCTAAAGGTATTATTACAATATTATTTAAAAATGAACTAAAAACTCCTTTAAACAGTAGTGATGGGAGAAATAATGTTTCCCAAGGCAGCAACTGAACTGAGCCCTTTGAGAGTCTGCTGAGGATAGCTGTATATATCTTCCCTACAGACCGTTGGTATTAGAAATGCAAGTAGCTTCTTATTGAAACTACCAGTTTTCTCAACCCGTGAACATTCTTCTAATAAACTTGTATATTTAGACTAAAGAGGTAAGAAACTGTCATGCAAAACTAATGATTTTTAATGATAGTGATATAAATAAGAACTATTTATGTTAAATAAGCTTTATGGTCTGAAGCATAATGAAACACACCCATTTTTATTCTTCAAATGATGCATACTCCCCATCTAGGATGATGAACCTGAGACAAAGTTAATTTAGATCTTATTGTTTATAAAACAGTAAAACTGCCTCTTTGCCAGGAAAAATAGCTAGGTCTTATTGGCTATCCCTCAAAGTAATTATACTGTATGGCTTTGGGAAGCATCTTTGCTCAAGAAATGGATCAATAAAACAATGTGAATTCATTTTTTGTCAACTCTTATTCCCCTTCTCCTAGCCCTTGAGAGTACTTTGCTGCAGTCACTCTGGTCTATTTTTAAGGTATCTATTCTTTTCCTTTGGCATTTTAGAGCATTCATTCCTGTAGGTACGAAAGTGCTTCTAGTGTAACTTACAGAATATTATTATCACTATTAGCTTATATCTCTGCTAAAGGATGAAACAGTTGTCAGATACTCTACACAGAAGATTAGAAGGCTTTAATCATTTTTTACACTATGTACTAAGCTTATTGTTCTCCTCTGCAAGTAAACATAGAAAAAATACATCTAATATTTGACTCTTATTTGTCAGTGTGAATATATCCTTTTGCTTGAAAAATCAAATTGTTTTTTTTTTCCTGAAACAGAAATGATGACACTTACGAAAGACATCTCCTCTTAGGCTTTGATCTTGACCAATTTGGTTTTCAAACCCTTCTTGTTCTTCTTCTTCCTCTGCCTCATCTACTTCTTCCTCTTCTCCAGCATCTTCACTTTCTTTTTTTTCATCCTGGGCTCCACCAATGTAAACACCACCTTCGTAGTCCAATGACTGCAGGTGCACCTTGGGAGCTGATTCTGGGATTACATTCTTGATTTCTTCATGTTTTTTCACACTGTTTTTGTGTGAAAGGAGTTTCTTGATTGTGTCCTTGATGACTCCAGGGATTCTCGGTATTTCCTTCAGTGAATTTTCAGGAATAACTAGAACCAACAATGAAATATAAAACAAATATTTGAATGTTACCAGTCCACTCAAGGACTATAGGACTTTTCAACTGAGGATGCAAAATCTTTTAAGATGCTGGGTGGTCAAATTCTTTGCTATCATATACAGGTGCAACTGCATGTGGAGCTAAATCTGCATACACTAACAGTGAACTAGACCCACAATACAGACAACCTTCTTCTATTGTTTTATTATGGATTCATAGATTACAGAACCAGAAGGGACCATTGTGGTCATATGGCTTTCTCCTTCATACCACAGGCCTTAGGACTTTCCTGAATTAATTCCTGCATGAATGAGGACATATTCTTTGGGGAGGAGGGGAAGCAATTAATCCATTTAGAATTAATTGCTGCAATCAAGAGTGAATCTCAGAAAGTTCAGATAGGCAGTTAATATTTCAGAAAGCTCATCAAAGCATATATCTGTACTCTACACTGATCTTTAGGTTGCCGCTGAAACACTCACTTCCTCATTCTCTATGCTTACCTCTGCTTTTTGTGCTCCAAAGAGGTGGTGAAAGGTCTCTGAGAGTTCCCCTCTTCCCTCCATGCTTGAGATTACCCACAAAATAAAATGTACAACAACACAATGGGGAATTTTTGAAGCAATACTGTGGAAACAGACCTATGGAGCTGGGACTTTTAGCAGGTCACAAATTGAATACGAGTCCCAATGTGATATAGTTACAAAAAAAGGCAAATGTCATCCTAGGATGTATTAAAAGGAATGATAATATTTTCTTACATACCACACGTTCCCAAATAAGACATGCACCTTATTTTTGGCAAGGCAGAATGAAGAAAAAAAAAAGATTTTGAAGCATCAACTGTACTAGTGACCATAGTTAGAATCTGGGTTAGGAACAGAGATTGGATGGTCAGGTATTATTTTTATGTCATGAGCTACTGGGCTATTAAGGACCCACCTCTCAAACTGAAGTATAGGACATATTTTCATGGTCATCCCCAGATGCTAACAAGACCTGAGCAAATCTAAGGCCCTTCGAGAAGAATACTTCCTTGCATATAGACTACTCACATCAGTGGGTCAGCAGACTTTTAAAATGGCTTTTATCATTTAATTTTGAACAGCATTTGGAGAGGGCAAAAGTAACTGGCAGTGAAATATCCTCAATGTAAGGCTTTCCCTCCAGTTTCTGTTGCCTTGTTGTTATGTAGCTAGAGAGGAATGTGTTGCTGTTTTGGCTTTGCCATGATTTTTAAGTTAATTTTTGCGCTGGCAGTAGGGGCATCTTTTTCTTTGCTTGTGTGTGTGTGTGTCTAATTTTAAATATATGGGAGTATCAGAAACATCATCAATGAAGAGAAGTGAAGTGAAATAAAATGAAATAAAATTAAAAAAAAAATCAAATCAAATCAAATCATTAGCTGTGTAATCTAGGAAAAGGAGAAAATTCCCCTGAGATTGCATTTGCTCCCATTTACCAAGTTGCTATTAGTTTGAATTTGCCCCACATTCTTTAAACCATAAGTGGCTAAATTTTATTTTTAGTCAAGAATCCCTCTGAAGCCACTGAGCACACCAAGACAAACTGCTTTGAGCTGTTTAGATTTTACAAGGCTGCAGTTGCAGGTTATACAGCAAGCCTGTGCCAATAAAAATAAATCAAAATTGCAGATTTTATTTTTTTCCCTTTGAATAATGCTTTTAGGTTAGTTTGCCAGGTGCCTGCAGATCAAGATTTTGCTAATGTGCTGCTTAGTGAGCCTTCCCTCTGGAGGATGGCGTTATGAAGAATATATTGTATGATCTTGTTGACGTGGTTCACGGAGTCTTTACTCAGAACAGAAAAAGAAAAATTAGCAGGAAAACCCCATTCCCAACATATTTCCCCTTAACAATTAGTAACATGAAACTTCAGGCTTTTAATAAAGAGGCTGTGGACATTTCAAGCCAAGGCTGACTGCCTAGCAAACCTGAACATCTGTTTTCATTTTTTTCCTTTGAAGTCTTCCTATTCAAATGAAAAATTCTTACAGTTCAACACTGTAGTGCCCAAAAACCAGCCTGGTGTTAAGCAAACCAGCCTAGAGATGTGAAAAAGTATGGGACTGAAGGTGAACAGTCCACACAGGCCTGCAAATTTTCGTTTGTTATCATGTTAAGAAAACCTGCATGTTTTCATACTGTCATCACGGGTGGATGGGTATGGAGCTATAGACAGATTTTGGAGATGAAATCAGAAACCCTCTTTCCAATATGTTTGCTGTTAAGTAGCCCAAGGTCAATTAAGGTTTCTTTTGTTTCACTGTCAATCACAGCTCGAGGAGTCCTTCCCAAGACATGGAAAATGTCACATACGTGATGTATGGAAGCCAGAGTTTGCCAGCTTCCACCTATGGACATTATGGGAAAGAACAGTATACAAGATGCTAAGCCTAAGAATTTGAAATCTTTAAAAAACTCACTATATAATCCTACATGCATTATTAACAAATATTCATGCATTATTTGTGGGTTATACTGACATTTTAAAACAATGAAAACAAATTCATTTTTTCCTGCCATTCTTGAAATGCTTCCTGCCTGGAAGTGTGTGGATTACTGTCTGTTGTTCTTTGATATTTTGTGTTCATAATCATCACTACATAAAAATGTATCAGTTTTTTTCAAGTCATGTTAATTATTTCAATCAGAAAGAATAAAACAAAACAGTTATACAAGCAACCATATATATCTGGGTTTGTGCTCCAGGGGTGGCTGGCACCTCCCCTGGTGGCCATGCAACCCTTACCCTGGTTCCAGATCTAGGGTGCCCTCCCCCACACTTGTCCACCATGCCTTCGATGTAATTGTGTGATTGGAAGGGAGACTGCCTAAAGCAAGCTCCAGTTCCTCTAGATGCCAGCAGCCTCAACAGCCTCCAGGGCCAGACTGCCCCTTCTGGCTCAGGGCCTGTATTTATATACCTCCCTGGCCATGCCCCCTGCTGGCCATATGCCTCCCTGAGCTGCTGCAGGTTTCTTGATTCAGCTTGCTGGCTTGCTGGCTTGCTGGCTCAGCCTCAGGGGGACTTATTGCTGCTGGACCTTGCTGTGCTTCTATGCAAGGCTCTGGTAGGTGCTGACATCAAGCAAACCCCCCAGTACCTCGCCCTTAGCAGCCCATAATAGGCAGCTTTCCCTGCCTGAGGCTCTCTCTGCTGCTCGTTCACCCTTAAGGTACCAGAAGCCTTCGGCTCTCTGTTACACCATACCAGTTGTAGATAATGACTAAAAATGGGTCCTTTTGTCCATAATTTTGTGTAGCCTTAGAAGACTAAGGAAATAGGTTGGCACTGGGTGGCTTATGATTAGGATGAGAAGCTGAGTTGGAAAGAATGAATACAGAGCAGATGCCACCTCCAGATCTTTCTTGTGTACTATAAAAAAGGGGAAGTGGGTGTTCATGAGAACTAGAAGATAGACACGGACATGTGTTTCATTATCTGACAAGTGGTCCAAGGACCCAGACTGCCATCATCTGAAGCTCTGAATGCAAGAAACAAATACATTCTAGTAGAAGAATAATTGCTGCTAACTCTTATGGGCTACACATTGTTTCTACCCAAACACCTAACGTACCATTAGAACAACTCATGGGTGAAAATTCCGAGTTCAGTTTATAAAACAAGTATATGGCTTCTGTACATAAAAGCATCCATCTACTTTCACTGTCATAACTGGAGGTTGTCCACAACACTAAATTATGTTTAATATATGAATAAGGCAAAGAGCTATTGCACAAAATGAAGAGTTATTAAGTAAAGGATAGCAATAGTTTCAAGATGAAACTGGATGCTTATCTTGCTGGGATCCTATGACCCCAGCTGACTTCCTGCCCTTTGGGCGGGGGGCTGGACTCGATGATCTTCCGAGGTCCCTTCCAGCCCTGATGTCTATGAAATCTATGAAATAGTAATTTTAAGTTGAACTCTAAGAATGATATGGTTAATAAAAAGACATTACTTGTGCTGAACTTTCTTCTCAGGGTATTTTGCAAAAGAATGGTGCATGAAACTTCTACCTTCAAGCCTAACACTATCTTTTCATTACTACCTTGCTATTTCATGCAAAGAAAATTAATTAAAGGAATTGTTTCATATTTTCACAAATATTATTACTACTTTCATAAACTCTTGAGAACCTATTCCCAAATACAAGGCTGAAACACACACAGAAGTGTAAGGTGGGGGAAATGTACATTGTCAATACATAATCATAAGGCAGGAAATGTATACGCCTGACAAAAGCAGTGGATTGGAGTAAGATGAAGGCCAGATGTGAAACTGGTGAAGACCCCCTTGAAGGAAAGTGAAAGGGTTAAACCTTTGTAGCTTCTCACGTGCAAAGTATGCTAGAGGCAGTTCAGAAGCCCACACCAACATGCTATTCATGTCTGCTTGCCGAGTGGTAAATGTGAGTCTGAAGACCCACAGACAGATAGTATTTATATATTTGATATTCTGTGTTGTTCATTGTTACAGCAATTTTCCACTATCTCAGTATCAAGATAGCTAGATCACAAAAAACCCCCGAACATCTGCATTTTACATTAACTAACTTCTTAAATTACTTGAGCAATGCTAGGTTATTTAGCCACAAGAGTCTCATTACAAGCCATGAGGGATATGTGGCTAACTTTGCATATAACAGTGCTTTGAAAATTAAGGATAAAGTTACAATTTCGTTTTCATGCATTAAAAATAATCGAATGCCATTGCAATGGACAATCATTCACAATAACTGCTATCAAGGTCTAGTGATTCTTCTCTCCAAATGGATCACTGTTTTAAAACTAATTGTGCTAGGTAAACTAAATTAGTAGGATCCTTTTGAAGTCATCTTCAAAACTCCCATTGATTTTAACAGTTAGGATTTCACCGAAGAGCATTCAGGACTGTTAATCTACTTCACTCTCAACTGTTACCCAAGTCTCCCTTAGCATCATGCTTTCTAAAATTTCCTTATCTTGAATATAATTTTCTTTAACTATAGTTGCATACATTTTTCCATTGGCACCTTTATTTTGGTACTTTCAATCCAGGCTTCTAATTTCTATAGTGTTATTTGTATTGTTTGTTTCTTTTGTTCCCGTCTGTTCTGCATTTAAGATAATTTGTAAATGTAATTAGTGTGCATCTTATTCTGTTGTCTAGATTAATAATCCTCAATAAAGACAGAATATGAGAGTATTGTAGTAAACACTCTCAAATTGGCAGGGAGTTGGAGCAGATGATCTCATAGAACTTTTCCCCTCCAATATTGCTGATTTTATAGGACTAGCTCTTTTTGAATGTGTCATGGTCTCCCCACAAATATATTTCACTTGTTCTAATTTAAGTAATTTTTAAAAAGTGCAATAGAAGGCAGGTTTACATTTGAAATATTAATGTTTAAACAATAATACCTTGCATTTAGACTGATCCATAAAAAGAGATTATTTCCCTCTTGAAAATTTAAACATCATTAAAAAATGTATTTTTTTTGTTAAGAAATTTATCATAAAAAATAAAACCTTTTAGCATTTTTTAATTTAAAAAAAACTTTCTGTTTTGGTTTCTTTTCAGTTTAATGCAACATTAAGCTGAGTCTAGAGCCAGTGTACGTCAATACACCACAGACTTGCCTATGAATTAGCTACTGTAGTGCATCCTGGGAGGTATAATCTGGCCAGGAACCTGATTCATAAATATGATGGGAATGAGGCAGCTGGCCTATAATGCCCCAGAGACAGAAAATTTGTAAATAAATATTTTAGGGTTTGGCTAAAAGGTTTTCAGGTGTTCAGTTTTGAAAGAAAAGTCAAAATTCTCCAATGGAAAACAGATCTGTTTCATGAAAAGCTTCATTTAGTCAAAAACCCAATTATCCGTGTAAATAGTTCCTCATGCAAAGGTATTCATTTCCTTTTGTCCCTGTATTTAGATTGATTTAACATGCCCAGGATTATGATAGGTGGTAGAGACAATTTTAATCAATAAAAGTTTGTAGAGCATTACCCACCATGGTTGCCACTTGCCCTGCTTTTCATCTCTGATAAACTTGGCTTGAATGATTAATTGAATATGCTAGCTTGCACTTCATAGCAGGTGTGAAGCTGCGTCTTGATTTGACATTGAGGTAGACAACATGTTGTAATGTAAATCTCTTAATTTGTAGCAAAAGGGCAAACATGTACAGCTGTCAACCACAAATAGAGTGCAATATGTTTTGCTACAAGTTTCAATGGATAAACATAAATTGTTTACACACATTTTTGACATATTGCCATCATGCTCTTAATCCAAATCAATATGACCAAAATCAGATTTTTTGCTTTATTCTGTCAGGGTAAATGAGTTTCATGTGGCACAAGTCAGACTTGCATTTACCTGATGGAAAGGTACATCAATTCATGATGACAGGAAGGGAGAATATTAACATGTTATCTGGTTTTGATTTTGTTAGTGTACCATACTCATTGAAACTAAATACAGTTTTCCAAGGCTGTATACCATAATAAGCATTTTAACATTAAGAAATTAATAGGCTGTGGGCAAACAGTGGGTGCAGTTCCCCTTGGAGTTGGTACCAGTGACTTCAAAGGGAGCTGCTGCCACCCCCTCCAGGTCCAAATTGAATTTAGCAAATTCTGACTTACATGAAATAAGGATTCTCGTGCATAAAATAAAAATCACTATGTCTGTAAAGCACCTAGAACATAACACATGCTAATCATGCTGCATTAATGCATTACTGGAAGGCTTTTAGGTAACACTTACAGGAATAAGATTTTGGACATAATATAATATCACAGCACATCTCAGGATTATTAATAAGAATAACTATAACATATCTTAGTGACTAAAGAGTAAAAGGACTGACTGCACACTGTGTGTGTGGACAGAAGGGAAGCTCATTTTCATTTAGTAGTAAGCAAACACATCTTCAGAGAATGTCCACACTATTCAGAGGACTGACTATAAGTGGAAATAATTTAACACAAAGGCAATCCTTTTTCCCCATCCTAGTTTTTCCTGAGCTTGCTTGTAGCTTTTCTGGAAAGGACTGGATAGTTCTCCACAGGACCAGTCTCACAGTCTGAGGAAAATTAGGCTCTTTTTTTTTTTTTTAAATGAACAGACAGAAAATAGATCAGACCACATTCTGCTCTCCACAGTGGCTCCCAGGTATTAGAGGAGTAGCACTAGTGTAATGGAACAGAATTAGGTCAATAGATTATTATTAGTATTATACATAAAAAGAGTCATATAATATACACACACACACACCAAGATGCAGTGTGATGTCCAAGTGCCATGGGCACAGTGGTGCATAGGCTGGGCAACGTCACTGGCTGAACTGCTGGTGGCACAATAGTGGCTGGTCCAGTAACACAGCTGGTGCCCTGGTTGTCCCCCACACTTCATTACACTACTTCACATATATATGGCTTCAATGGGGATTTGAACTACTATAGGCTGAGAACTACAGGCCTGGTCATATAGACCTTTGTTAGAAAAAGTTCTAGAAACTATCAGTTGCTTGAAAAGAGACTGTATACCTCTTGCGCTCAACCATTACTTACCAGAACATTCAAGTCCATTTCCCCTATAGCCCTGCTTACATTTGCACTTGAAGGATCCCTGAGTATTGAGGCACTCTGCATGAAGGTTGCACTTGTGTGTATTTGTAACACATTCATTTATATCTAGGAAAAAGAATCATTTAGTGAAAAAAAATCATATTGGGACCACAGTTTCATAACAACCCACCTGTATTTTTCATGTCCTTTTGGCTAGTTTTAGCATTACCATTAGATCAAGACCATCTTGAAACCAGCCATGACAACAGAATTCATTCTTGGGTGGGTCTCAAGGCCATTTGGTTACCTTTGAGCTTGACCCTACTCCATGTGACGTCAAGAGCAGGTTTTGGTTAATGATATCATTGAGAGCAGAATTCAGTCCTTAGGGCCTTTGTACATGCCACAAAATTGGCTTTTAAAGCAGCTTAAATGCCCTTTTGCACTGCTTTAATGGCGTTGCTTAATGGCGTTGCTATTTACATGCTTGGTGGCATATTCAGCTTTAAATGACTTTGTAACATAACAAGGTAAAATCCTTCTGAGTCGTTTTAGTTTGCTACCTAACAAAGTGCAAAGGTGGATGGGGCACAGGAAGCCGACACACTCAGGGAAGCTCATGCTTGGTGGGCTTTCAGCACTCCATGCACAATCCCCACTGCCTTCTCCTGCTGCTAGCACACCCAGCTGCCCTTCTGCCGCCTTGCCCAGGGGCAAGTCAGCCGTTCCTGGACGGTCCCAGGCGGTGGGGATAGTGCATGGGGTACTGGAGCCTACCTGCCTCTCCCGTGATGGAGGAGAGGGGGCGAGCTACTGGCAGGCTGAGTAGTCCCTGAGCTGCAGGGGACCCCAGTCCTTCCCTCCACAGTGGGAGCACCCCCCAGGGGGCACCTACCTGCTGGCACCTGGCTCGGGCGGTCCCAGGGTGCACTGCTGCTGCGGAGGGAAGCACTGGGCCCCATGCAGCTCAGGGACTGCTCAGCCCACCGGCAGCTAGCCCCTCTCCCCCTACCCCCTCATTGCAGGAGAGGCAGGCAGGCTGGGAGAAAAAAAAAAGGATTGGGCCCCCTCACCCATGTACACACAACAGGGTTTAGTGCTCCCTAATTGAATCCATAGTTTCAATTCAGGGAAAATTAAACCCCCGCTGAATGTACAAGAACCTTTAGACTCTAAGTATTGTTCTGCTAAGAGAATAAGTACGGCAGTGATTATATGCAGTTTCTTAGTTCCCAATTTGCCTGACAGCACCTCTAAGTCCAACATCAACCACATTGAAAGTCACAGTCGCAGAACTGTGCCTTGAGACTGTAAGACTATACAGAAGCTACCTCATGTCTTTGTGTTTGTAAAATGCCAAGCATAGATATGCAGCTGTAGTAAAAAAATAAAATAATTAGGAAAACATTCAATAAAATCCACTATGTTAAACTGATATCAGCATGTTTAAACAACAACAGTAACTTTTATTTCCTCTGCTCCACTTGATTTTGCAGAGTGGGACAAGGGATTTTCTCATTACAACCCACATGAGGGAGCTGAGTTCTTATGAAAACCTTGTGCACACATGTAAAAGTTATGCCAGTATTAAATTATGCTGACATAAGATGTTCCAACATAACTATTATTTCTATCTGCTCGGACACTGGTAGAAGTTGAGCAAATATGCTGTAATTTTAATCTTCTTCTGTTCAAGTTCACAGTTGTGCTTTAACTCATTTATATCAATATAGGCACAGACAGATAGTTACATCAGAACAGCTGATGCATGTTATCAAAGGGCAAGCCCCTCTCTCTTTCCTTTTAAAATAATTTAAAGCTATGTGTGACCACAGCCAGAGTTTACACCCATTCATATTTTATCTAACCATGATTTATTTTTAGCTGATAAAGGTCAACTTTGGAAACAAGCAAAGAGGAAACCTCTGCCTCAAAAGGCAGTGCCAGTGAGATTCAGATTTACAAGTTTGACAGAGTTCTAACTATTAACCAGGCCTCATCATAACTATCAACCAGGCCTCAACTATTAAACCTCATCATTTTTCCCCATGCCCACATATATATCTGAAACTGTAGGCTATTTTTTCAGTTTCAGTGTTCTTGCGGGATTGAGTACAGCAGGAGTATAACCCAGACTTCAGCCTCCTGATCTGCTTTAACGATATCCCAAAACAAAACATTTGTTTTCTCTTGTATGGGTTTACTGTTAATCCAGTTCCCTCTGGACCTTGCATACAGTATTATTAGAGCAATGTTTTACAATGCCTGCTCTAACAACTAAAGTTTTGCTCTTCTTAAAAAATCCTGGGGGTCAGTGGGAGGCACTAGTTAATAGAATGCAATGAGGGATATTATTTTCATATGTTTTTGCATTTGACTTGTGTAGGGGCTTCAGAGACGGTACCTGGATACTACATGGATCTGCAAAATAATTAAAACCTGCAATTTCCAGGCAGTTATTTTTTTCTTGCCTGTGCTACATATACATCTCGTTATAAACAGACAGCGACATCAGGATTCACTTTACTGATTAACTCAAAACATGACTGTGTGAATATGGTTGTATACCATGCATTGTATGACAGGAGAAATCAAATAACCCTTCAAATAGCATCCTTAAATCAATCTGAATCCTCCCTTGTAGTCATTTGTTTCCTTGTCACTGCAGACTGCACTACAAACTACTGAACCTCTTTTATGAAGTGCCTAGAGAGGTCTTGGCAAGATAAGATACAAACATTGCAGGTCCTATTGTAAATCATTACTGATATTAGTAAATGTAGCTTATCTGTCATGAGGCTATAGAAACTACTCAATGTCCCAAGGAGGCTTTAAGCAAATTTTTGTTTTTGAGCCATTCTTCCAAACAGAAACCAATACATGTAAAGCAATGACAGGAAAAATGTATGTTGTAGGAAGGGGAAAAGACAAGCAAACACAGTTCCTACATCTTACCTATACAGCCGTAACGGCCATTGGCATAGTTCAGTTCATAACCAATCTGGCACTTGCAATAGTAGCTTCCGAAAGTGTTGACACATCTGCGGTTATAAGAGCAAATAGCTTTCCCAGTGGTGCACTCATCAATATCTAGGAGTGAAAAGGGAATTTGGTAAGGTTAAGGAGAAGACAAAGGTCAAGGAGGAAGCAAAAAGTGGCAGTCATTTGAACAATGGTCAGGGTCACAGTTTATTGAAGTCAGAAGTTTCAAAATGTTTATGTTAAATAAAAAATTACCATTGGCTTTTATGCTTGGGGATTGTTTTGTATCTGGTTACAGGAAAGGAATGGGGACAGTTTAGCCAATTTCAATGGGAACCTGGAGAGCTGCTATGTTAAATGATAGGCCATTTGAAAGACTGGCAGACAACAGCAATTCTTACCATTAGGGATAGTGGTTTGTCCCACAGTCAAGAGTTGGGTGGGAAGGGGCTTCACAAATTCTGTGTTTTCTATGCTTTGAGTAGAGGGAGGAAATGTCAGATGATATGATTTAAGAGAAATAGGGAGAGTCAGGGAAGGAAGGAAGAGCAAAATGTCTTTTGTTCATTTTCTTCCACTGCTCCTTGGAGGGCTAAATCATGAATCGATGAGACAGAAGTTCCCATTATGACTAGAATGTGAGTATACAAGCTGAGCCATAAATCCCAGGAGAGCAAACGGGCCTTACCCTTTCTAATCAATGAGAGACAGATCTTGACTAGATATGGGAAGGCTGGAAAACCCGACAAGGAAAAAAGTTTGAGAACCAAAACTGGTTTTAAGCAGTTAAATGTTACTAATTTCATTTTAGTAACAAACTGCACATGCCTGTACATCTGGACATGGCCTCTGACTATGCTATGAATTCCTTGTTTTTAATTAGCATCTCTTTTTTCTTATAGCAGGCATCCTAAAAGCAGGATGCCTACTTATATCACTGGGAGTGCTGAGTGCAGAATGCCCACAAAGGAGGTCAGAGAGCAACATTTTCATAGATTTCTAGAGTTGGAAGGGACCTGGTAGATCAGGGGTGGGCAATTATTTTGGGCGGAGGGCCGCTTGATGAGTTTTGGTGAGCTGTCGAGGGCTGCATGGGTAACCCCGCCCCTTCGGTTGCCCTACCCCCTGGTCCCCATCTTGGGACTGGACGTCCTGCCCCCTGACCCCTGACCTTTGCCACCGGAAGTCCCTCCCCTTGCACAATTTACCAGGTAGCAAGGGGTTGTGACCCCTCTAACATCCTGCCCCAGCAGTGGGGTTTCAGGGGCATCAGACCTCCCCCAGAATTTTCCCCCTACCTGTGCCAGCTGGTCCCAAAAGGAGGAGGCTCTGGCGCCGCTTCTGCTGGCCGGTGCTGACCCAGTCGGGCTCGCCCCATCCCCGGCAGCACCTGGGAAGCTGGCTTCAGCCGCATGGCCTGGCCAGGTCTGCACTGGGCAGCAGAAGTGGCGGTGGAGTCATGTGCTGCTCAGGACTGACTGGTGCAGGCAGGAGGAAAGTGCAGCTGAGCCCCTGCTGCTCCTGCTGGGCTCATCCTGTTCCAAGTGGCACACGGCTCCGCTGCCACCTCTCCTTCTTGGTGCTGACTGGGCCACAGCTGCGGCCCAGCTCCTGCTTCCCCTCCCCAGTGCAGGCCCAGCCCAACCCTGCATGGCCCAAGCAGCACGGGGAAAGCCTGCCCAGCAGCCGCTTTCCTGGGCTTACCTGTGGGGCAGGACCCTTTCCAGTCCCGTGCAGCAAAGCAGAACCCGGCCCAGACGCTGTTTCCCCTCACTGGCGCCACAGGTTCTGCCCCCCCCCGCCCCCCTCAAGCTGCAAATGTGGCCTGAGCCAGGGGTGGGGTGAGGCCAGCTGGGGTAGGCTGAGGTCAGGGTTGGTCACCTCACAGCCAGAACCCAAGGAAACAGCCTGAGGTGCTGCAGCTGGCGGCTCGGGGCGCCCGGGGGTTCTTGAGGGGG